TCATTGATTAAAATGTCCATAATGAAAAAGTCGTTTTTAAGATACATACAAACTTTTCAGAATCAAATGCGTTTCTATTCTTTGGTATTACAAAAACCTAAAAACGGAATATCTTGTGATGTGTTGAAGTTTCTTTAGGAAATTGTATATCCTTTGAATATTCTCTGTTGGGAAATTATCCCTCATTGGCCTCGTAAATCCCCAGATCCCCTAACAATTGGCCGTCAAAAGAACACCGATATGAATCGGGCTGGGGACCCCCAAGTAAACTCATTGAATTACAGACAATTTGCGGACTAGGGTCAAATCCCTTGGCTTTAGGGGTTGATTTAGGGCCAGACCAAAAACACCAGCACAACCAACAGAACTCGAACAGAGGAGATAAACAAAAACGATGCTGCACTTGAGCTCGCTGAAGGAAGACCTCATAAAAGAGATCAAATGTCAACGACAGCAAAATAGCACCACTATAAGCACCACCATACCATTCCATACCATATACCATAGGCACCACATGCCTCGTCATTCTTCCTTTCAGTTACTTCATTCCATTCTTTGATGGGTTTCGAACCGAGATCCGTAGCCGGGTTTCCAAGAAGTCCTACAAGATGTAAAGCAAAGTGCAGATCAGATCAGGTAGGAGGGGAAGGACGGACGGACGCATTTCCTCATTGCTGCTTTTCTACCTGATCCGAACGAGCACTGGGGGAAAAGTCGTTATATCTTCTGGTTATCTATTTCCAAATGTAACTTTTGACTAAACAAAATTCTCTCAGTGTATGAAAGGAGACAGCATCCCTCCTCTCACTCTGTCTTTCTTGCACCTTCCCTTCGATCGAGCGTTGAGCCGTTAATCTTAATGCGCCATGGCTGCTGTCGCTTCTGTCTCTCTCCGGCTTCGGGTTCCTTTTTCCCCAGCCTTTCCTTTCCTGGCTATCAGATTTTCTTATTTTCCCATCGTTCTTACTGCGCACCACTTGATGCACACTCACAAGGGGGCGGGGAGGCGTGGCGGGGGTTCCGATGCGGAGAGGATGCGCCTGCGGAAATTACTCATTAACGTTCAACTCGGTCCGGTCCCTGGCACTCGGGTGATTCACTTGCAAGCTGGAATTCCAGCTGCGTCTAGGAGTGCCGATCAAAAATGCCATTTGAGTGTCATCTTAGGGGGCTAAGCGATAGGGAAGTGCTACAGTGCTGGATTGTAAGTGAAATCTGAGCTGGAAGCCACTTTTCACTCAATGTTAGCGGAAGACGATATCTTTATGTTAGAATTTCCCCAAGAATATAAAAATATTTCCCCCTGTCTTTGAGATTGCATACGATAGATATGGATAAAGGTGTAAGAAAGGAAACGTGGTATAAACGTTTAACTTAATCTTATCTGATTGCTGTCCCACATAATCCTTTCCATTCTCTTCTGTAGGAACTCTTACCTCCTCGACTTCCTTATCCGCCATTGAGATCTCCCATGTCCCATTTTTTTTCTAGCATTTCCGATCCCACGATCCCACACACGAAAGACCCTCCTTCTTTTGCCTCTTTCTTTTCGCCAAAAACGGAAACATTGCAAATACTCGTAAAAAGAGCCCATGAAATTCTTTTAACCCATTTGTATTTGGTTTTCCAGCTTTCCTTCCACTCCCCCTGGCATTTATTTTTTTCTTTCTTTTCTAAACTGATCGTTTTATAATTTTCGTTTGTAATTTCCGTTGAAACCGGTTCGAGATCGGTCGCATACCTTACCTCCGATTTTGAACTACCTGTGTGTCTGAGTTGATTTCAAGTTGTGCCAGAGCGAGAGGCACGATCAGGGAGAGAGAGAGGTGGCTCTTTTCGGACTCTTCTCTGCCGCGCCTCCTGCGCCGAGATTTAGAAATATTCTTCATACTCTTATTGCGTGACGACTATCTGCTTCTTCCTTTGCACTGATACAAAATTTGTCATCAAATTAAAATAATTATGCGTTCTAGCATAGAGTTTTCGATGAAAGTAGGTTTCTGGAGCTAATAAAGCTAAGATCCATGTTGATCCCAGTTATTAAGTTAACAGAGTGCCGATAGAATTGGAGTTTTAATCCATATTGAGAGCCAGGTGTTTTTCTCCCAGTGAGGTTCCCCAACTCTGCTTCTTCCTGGGGCTGCTGGCCTGCCTTCCTTATAGTTTTGTTTCTGTTGCCCGCTGATGAGCATTCATTTGTCATTTTACTACGTGCCACCGACTTCAACTTTTAGCCGAATGTTTATTTATTTTGTGTTGATGTTGCTGGTGCTGCGGAACATGTGTGCACTAGAATATATGATTTTATTTTAGTGAAAACTCAACCATGTGTTGTGGCAACCGAAATAACACGTAGGATCGTTTGTGTATGAGTGTGTGTGTATGTATGTGGGGAGTGTGCACAATCAGCGGCGGGGCATCAGCATTTACCTCTAGCTCTCTTCGAAAACAAATAGATCGGATCGGTTGTGGATCGGATAGAGACCCCCTCTAAGCCATGTACATGCACAATAAAATATTCAAGGCGATTATTATCATCCTCATCATCGTCCTCCGCCCCCTTTTTCCCCCACCGCCATCACAAATATTTTATGTTCTCGCCCTCTCTTTCTGGCGCGGACGCTCACTTGTTGAAAGCGCTTCCCGGAGAATGAGGAAGTTTCTTTCGGGAGAGCAAGACAGCCGAGTCGAGATAAATCTGAACATGTGTGCAGTGAAACCGTCTGGTCGGGCTATAAGAGGGAATGACTACAGCGCAGGACAAGGGAATAGTACTTTTATGGGTCCGCAATCATTTGAGATCAACCAACAAACCAGACTAACTAATGAACTAACTTATAATATAAATGACAAAAGTTATATTTCTTAATAATTATTCTTAACTATGACTTACTTAAGAAGTAATCCCCAAAACCTAGTTTCTTGTTTTATCTGTTAACAGGGTGCCCCTTGTTCGGTGCCCCTTGATGCTTCCCCCTCTCCGCAGACTCCCTAATTCTCCATCATCATCCCGATCCACCGACTGAGACTTGCTGCTCTCTTTACCCACTGGCGGATTTATTAGTTGCCCCATCGCGGCAGCGTCTTTCTCCCATCCCCTTCCCCTTTCCACTCCCGCTTCTCCGGCTGCTGCTTTTGGAAACGGGTTTTCTGTTTGGAATGTGCACTTCCGTTTGCTGCTGCTGCTGCAGCAAAGATACGAGAGTGGGCAATGGGCACGGCTTTCAAGTTTCGAGAGACGTTCGACTTGGCCGCTCCCCCGTGCCCCCTTTTCCCCTCCGCCGGTGCCATCAATACATTCGCTTATGTTGAAATCTTTACAGCAAATGATCACCGCCATGTGTGTATACGTCTTTTGGGGCTTCGTGTGTCTGCGTTTGGTTTGTACACATCCGGAATGGCAGCGTACTGCCGCCCATGCACACCCATACACCCCAAGAGATCACACATTTTGGGTGGAAATTACCATATTGAGAAATTTACAATTAAAAAGCTTCGAGTGTTAGAGTTTAGCGACTAGCAAATGCTCTAAGGGGGTTTAGCCCTTAATCTTCATATCTTATATCGCTCTGATAATGGCCTTTCTTTCATTCCTTTGCACTTCCGAAAGATTTATTTTGATTTTTCGGCAACCTCTAATAAAACTTAAAAATATCTTCAGGAAGTGAAATTAAAACCAAGGCTGTGATTTTATTACGGCTTTCTTTGAAGGTGTGAATTGTTAAGCATTAATATCTACCCGGATGTGAAAGCGGAAGAACCATATGTGGATTAAAGGCAAGGCCTTTGGTGTAAATGTGGAACTTTAATATAAATTTTGTAATTGTATAGTTTATAAAAGACTGCTTGTTAGATCTATTGTTGAGACCTTTCTCCACGAAGCTCGTATTTTTTCTCCGTGGAGCGTATTCACTAGTTCGTTAAGGTCGAATCTCTACTTTGGAACGATCTTCTACCACTCTTCTTGCTCTTTTCCCTCTTGTCTGCCTGCGCCTCGGTCGCTGCGGGGGTGTGTTGCTGCCTCTGCCGCCGAAGATGCCCGCTGAGAGGAGGAGATATCGAGGAAGAAGAGAGAGAGTGAGAAAGAGAGAGAGAGCCGGTCCAGACCGCTGCCGCTGCCTGATCCTCTGCTGCGTCGCCTCCGCCGCTGCCAGTGAGTCACGCTCCTCGCTCTCCGAGATCGAGATCCCGCCGCCACTCTGCGTTCACTTGAGTTCGGATGCGCTAGCTCGCTATATTGTATATGTATCTCTAAACACATATAGATCTCGTTGTTTTTGTCTTCCTGCGTCGGCATCGGAGAGATATATTATTTGTTTATTTCATCCATCGGCTGCCCCGCGACGATTATGAAGAAATCTGATTTGGTTGGAATGCGAGTGTCTGTCTGAGTGTCGCTCTCCCAAATCGGATCGGATCGGATCGGTATGTGTGGCGTCTGGGAGCGGGATGAATATATCCCCACACTCCTCGGCTAGGTGATGTGTCCGCTTAGATATTTCGCTGGCGGAAGTGTGTCGACGAGTGATCAACAACATCCTTTTGCGATTGTGATTTCTCAATAGTGAACTTTGATCCGCCAGAAGAACAGTGTGTTTATCCCCGATCAGTGGTAGTTTTCCATGAAATAATGGCCAGTATTTAAAACAAACAACAATTTTCCCCTGAAATTATTCAAATGGTACTGTGTGATGTGCTTACTTAAAAAAGGGGTAAATATTTGAGTGCAAAGAGACACTTTCAAAATAGTGAAATATTGTGGTTTAAAGTCTGTTTATTGTAGCAAAGGTTTGGGATAATGAAAATGATCCTAATAATAATAATATTTTATATATATATTTTTATATTTATATATTTATATATATTATTTTAAGAAAACTAACTCGTATCTTTTAGAGGTTTTGTAAATTTAACAATCAAAAGTACTTCCCCAAATGTTATTACTGAATAAGAGTGTTTCTCATTAAACTAACTTAATCTCTTTCCACTTTACTTTTCAGATAATACCACTTAAAGGCAACACTAGTGGCTCCCACTGACCCACTGATACGGATCCGCTGACCAGGACACTTCCTTACACACTGCGGCTGCATGTCCAAAATGAAAATGCTCCCAGTACAGTTATCGTTGAACTCGCTGAATCCCGGCATCTGGAGCGATGTGCTCTGGCGCTGCCCCCCGGCGCCGTCCAGCCAGCTGGCGGAGCTGAAGACACAGCTGCCCCCCTCCCTGCCCTCCGATCCGCGCCTCTGGAGCCGCGAGGATGTGCTCGTCTTCCTGCGGTTCTGCGTCCGCGAATTCGATCTCCCCAAGCTCGACTTTGATCTCTTCCAGATGAACGGCAAGGCGCTGTGTCTGCTGACGCGCGCGGACTTCGGCCACAGGTGTCCGGGCGCAGGCGATGTGCTGCACAACGTGCTCCAGATGCTGATCATAGAGTCGCACATGATGCAGTGGCATCTGCCCAACAGTCCAGTGACGCCCACCAGTCGTTATCCCCTGTCGCCGCACAGCCATCCGCCGACGCCCACGTGGCCGCCACTGAACGCTCCGCCGGAGAACAGTCCCTTCCACAGTGCGGCCCACGGGCTGGCGGGTCACCACTTCATGGCGCCGAACTCCGTGACGCTGAGTCCCCCGCCCTCGGTGGATTCCCAGGCGAGTAGTCCGCCGCAGGCGCCCTACCAAAACGGAGCAGCCGCTGCCGGAGCAGCCGGCGGAGCAGGAGGAGCCGGATCAGGAGGAGGGCCGTCGAGCGCTGCAGGCGGAGCCACCAACAGCAGCAATCCCACATCGTCGAGTGCCAGCAGCACCGGAAGCAACGGCTCCCAGCCGAGCATCATGCCCATGAAGGGCATCAGCAGTGCCAGCAGCAACCACTCCGACTCCGAGGAGGAGTACGCGGAGACCAGTGGCGGAGCCGGCAAGCTGCCACCAGCTCCACTCTCATACAGTACGGCCAGTCCGCCGGGCACACCCATACTGAAGGACATCAAGCCGAACTGGACGCAACAGATGACGAATAGCTTTGTGAACTCGTGGTCGCAGCAGCAACAGCAGCAGCAGCAGCAACAGGCAGCCGCCGTTGCAGTGGCAGCAGTCCAGGCGCAGCAGCAACAGCTGCAGCAACAACAGCAGCAGCTGCCCCAGAAGCTGACCCTGGACAACACCGCTGGCCCAGTGGTGACCCCCGCCGGAGGATCGATCTCCGCCCCGACGACGCCCAGTTATATGTACAAAGCCAAGCGGGAGTTCTTTCCCGAGAACTCGGAGCCCAATACAAGTGAGTTTTCAAATCAGATTTAAGGTTCTCCTTGGAATAGGAACTAACCGTAATTCATCTTTATTATTTCTAGATGGTCGCCTGTTGTGGGACTTTCTGCAGCAGCTGCTCAACGATCGCAACCAGAAGTACAGCGAGCTGATAGCCTGGAAGTGCCGCGATACGGGCGTGTTCAAGATCGTCGATCCCGCCGGCCTGGCCAAGTTGTGGGGCATCCAGAAGAACCATCTGTCCATGAACTACGACAAGATGTCGCGTGCCCTGCGCTACTACTACAGGGTGAACATACTGCGCAAGGTGCAGGGCGAGCGACATTGCTATCAGTTTCTGCGCAATCCCACGGAGCTGAAGAACATCAAGAATATCTCGCTGCTGCGGCAAACGACGCCGGCGAACGGCAACGGCGGCGGATCGTCGATGCCGCAGGGCAGCAACCAGGCGCCCGGAAGTCCTGCTGGTCAGAATTGGAACACCCAGCAACAGCAGCAGTCCCAGCAGCAGCAACAGCAGTCGCCCCAGCGTCCCGCCTCGCGGAACGGTCCGATGAGCCTGCCCGCCGTGGCCGCGGTGGCAGCAGCAGCTGCTGCGGCCTATGGCCCGCCGCCCACATCCCCACTCTTCATGCACGCGATCAATGGAGCCTTCCACTACCTTTCGGCGGCGGCAGCTGGTCCGCCACCCAATTCCCCTGCCCTGAACACCCCGTCGGCTGTCGGAGGACCCGACAAGTTCCAGTTCCATCCCCTGAAGCTGGAGAACGGCTCGGGATCCGGTTCGGAAAGCGCTGGCGAGGATCTGAAGCCCACGGACCTGAGTGTGAGCAGCAAGAGCAACGCCACCAGCAACGAGGATTGCTACCCGTAAGTGGATTGCCTGTCAAGTCACACTATCAACAGTACGCTAATCCAAACATCCGCTCTGCAGACTCATCCGCAATGCTGACGGTCTGACCACCATCAAGCTGATACGCTGCAACGATCACCTGGGTGCCCCGTCGCCATCGGAGCTGTCGCCCAAGCCGGATGACCAGCAGCCCGCCGCCTCCAATGCGAGCAGCTCACCCAGGCCGATGGATCAGGCCAGCGATCAGGCTCAGCCAATGCCCATGGAAAGCGATTTCAATGGCGGCGAGTCGGAGGACTCCTTCCGGCACATGCGGCAGTAGGAGAAGCATCATGAGCGTCCTGTGACAATCGCCCGACTACTTCTATCTTCCACTCCCTCCTGAGCACACACAGCATTACCTGAGCTACATAAATTGGGACCAGCAAAAGAAGCGCACAGACATTTCGACAGACAACCTGCTGGACATAGATCTGGATGCCTTTCAGTTAGAATGGATCGTTTAGCAATGCTATGGATTGTATAAGCAGAAAGTAATCTTTAGATAACTGTGCTAAATCAGACATCCAAAGTTTACTTTCCACTCCAGCATTTCGTGGTGAATGCAAAACGATTCGCTCGGCTTACTGTATATAGAAATCACACCTGCATAAACAAACACACCATCATACATACATATATTTTATAAATCAAGCCTATTTATTAAGCTAAGCTAAGCGAGAGCAGTGTGCATGTAATTTCGTTGTTGTAAGTAGATTTCTTGAGCCGGCGCAGCGCAGCCTTCGATTATGTGCCAATTTCTACATTTATCAAACAAAAAAAAAAGCCTAACCATAAGCGTTCATTCGTCAATCATATGAGTAAATGATAGCGATTAAGGAGTAAACCTAGAGAGTAGCTTAGACCGTAAGTGTTGCCACCTTTGAGCTTTACAAATGTTGCCTCAACAATGGTTTCAAATTTATGAAAACAGAAAACCAACAAACGTTGTTAAAATCGAAAGAAAGTGAAGAGAATATGAAATTTGAATTGTTGGCGAAATCGTTAATTAATATACAAATCAGCATAGAAAGAGTTTTTTGTATACAACAAGGCAAATTGATTTCATGTGATAACAACAGAATTATCTTTGATTCACATTGGCTGAATGGTCAAAAAAAAAGCAGTTCTAAAAGGGCAAAGCTGAAACAGTTTGCCGGGTGGGACTGCTCTTTCTTCGAGATCAGCCTGAAAAGAGAGCTTTCAAAATTCAATTTCAATTGAGACCCTAGCCCTAGATACACTGCAACATGATAACAAACATTATAAAAAAAACATTGGCTTCCATTTTTATATAGCAATGATGATGCACACAAGCATATATATGTATACACGTTAGTTTTCTATTATTATCATTATTATTATATTATTTTTACGTTAGCCTAAGCAGCTGCAATTAAATGGCAGCCCAGCATTAGTAGTCGCGCCAATGAAGGTGTTCACTTAAGCATTAACAATTTTAGTTTGTAAAACGCATGCGATCTTAACACCCACCCACCCACACGCCACCACCCACCACCCGCCCCCACTCACCTGCTAAAAAGAAGAAGAAACAATAGAAAATGTACATTTGAAGCACTTTATTAATTATATTAAACAGAATGAAGCGGATTAAGGAGAGATATCATCAATGCACGTTCATACATTTAGCCAGTAGTGCAACTGTAATTATTAATTATTGAGTAGATTTATGGTAATGAATAATTTTCTATTTGTTTTTCGTACACCTTAAGTTTAAACACCGCCAATAGCTAATAATTAGCACTCTAGTGTCGCCACAATACCTGTTCTTCCATTGAAAACTTTAATTTTCGATCAATACATAATTTATATATGTATAAAAAAAGGAAACAAATTTATATGCAATAAATAAATTGAAAAGTGAAATCCGAGATACGTGGGGATCACCTTTGTTATTTATCATTTGATCTGAACTGGGCGGTAAATTATCATTTGCGTTATTCAAAGTTCACTGTTAAAAATCATTGGATCGTTATTCACTTAAAAGATTTCTTAAATCTCACAATTTGTTGTTATTAGATGAGTTCCTGATTGTCCAAGAACTCGCGGATCATATTTCGGCAGGACTTGAGCAAGGATTTGTTGCAGCTTCGCTCGTTGTTGGGAATCGGAGTCCTTGTTTTGGCCTTGACTATAGATTTACTGATCACCGAACTCTCTGATTTGGCCGGAGTCATAGATCTTCTGAGGAGGTGTGATGGTATGGAGCGCTTCTTCAATGGCTGGCTGGCGACTGGTGGACGAACCGTCTGATCTTTTGGCGTTGTATTATCAGCAACCGCAGGCGGAGGAGTTGGCGAACGTGTCTCCGTGTATGACATAATGTCATTACAGACTTGGCGATCGTATTGGTAGCGGAGCAGCAGGAGAGCTGTAGCAGCCTCCATCTCCAGGGAACTGTGACTGGCCAGGGAAACGTCCTCCACCCCGGAATCTCTCACTGGCGAAGGAGTCGCCTGCTTGCGTTTGTTCAGCATGCGGTACTTCATGGTTCGATTGTTGGTAAGGCACTGATGTCCTGCTGAATTCAGCACCAGCTTTATATAGATCAACTATTTACCTGATTAAGGACCACCCTCTCACAAGTTCTACCTACCAATTGGCCGGTAATCCCAGTTACCCTAATAAGTAACATTTGGGATAAGTCAGGTACAATCTGTTAAGCTTGTTTCGCGATTTTAAAACCAGACACCTAAACTTATTCTTTGTTCATATTGGGCGCTAATCTCCGGTACCCTAATAAACCAGGTGTGCAATCCTTTTGAAGGCAGATGGTACTCTATTAGACTAGCGTGCTGTGGATGTCCTTTCAAATTCTAGGAAAATCGGCTACAAAAATGATTGGGTATTTCAAAGCCTTGGTTACTGCATACTTTATTCCAAATTTTACCTTACTGAACAAATCAATGAGAATATATTCTAGTGCTTAGACTTTATTTAATTAAAAATGAAGACAAAAAACGCTTAGGTCTAGTTAAATAAAGAATGCCTTATGGTCAAAAAGCGAAAGTTTAACAGTGAAAATGCAAGATGTAAACAATTCAGGTAGTACGTGAAATTTTGGTCAACAACTTTTTTCACGCTTAATTTATTAGGAAACATACAGAAAATTCAACAGATGTCTGCTAATCCTTGTCTTTGATATATATACATGCAGATACGCATAATGCGGCCTTAAACCCGATTCAATGTCGTGGACTACAAAATAAAATTTATTCCAAAAATAATAAAACCAAAATTTCTGTTGCATTGCGCCATTGCCGTTCGTATCTAGTTGCAATTGCATATGTACACAATAAACACAGTTGAAGGCATTCGTTTATGATCGGTGCGGGCTGATTAGCATTCCAGAACACTGATGGGCTTTTCCCTTGGTCCCCAGGGACACTCGGTTGTCTACGCATGAATCTCGAACAGTTTGGCCACCTCATTGAGGTCATCGTACTTCTTATTCTGATTGATTATCGTCCTAGCTAAGCCTATCCTATTGAAAAGGTTCCACAGAAGGATTCCAACAATCTTGTCGTTCTTCAAGTAGAATATCACACCCTTTCCATAGTTGGCCGCCTCATCGGGATCACAGGTAACTCCATCGGGGGTAACGACGGCAGCGTTTTTCGTTGAGACGTTGGAACTCGCACTTTTTGAGTCCTCATCTTCGCTGGACTCGGGAAGATTGTCGACGCGATCGGCGGCGTCCGAGGGCAGGGCGAACACGCCAACGGTAGGCAGCGAGGAGTCCACCAAACCAATGCCCTCGTACCCAATCTCTGGTCCCAGATCGGACCAAAACATGCTCTGGTGCTGATAGGGTTTCTCTGTGGGTAAACAGAAATACATTAGAGTAAGTATAACAACTTTAAAGGGAGAAAACCTACTTGCTCCTGTCATGTTCTCGCCGGCCAGCCGACCAGAGACCACCGAGTGATCATGGTGCTCCACTCGCCGCCTGCCCAGCAGTGGATCGAAGAAGCAGGACGCATCCCCGGCGACGTACAGATTCCGTCTGGCCTCCAGCTCAGCATTGACCACAAAGCCACCAAGACTCCGGTCCACCTCTAATCTGCTGGGACCCGCTAGCTCTGTATTCGGTGTGCATCCCACACAAACGACGACGACATCGGACATCAACGTCATGCCATTGTTTAACTCCAACTTCAGATTGGTTTCATCTCGGACAGCCGATCGAATGCTGGCATTGGGAATGACACAGACGCCCTGGGCTTCCATCTTGGCCATTGTCCAACGACTCAGATAGTTTGGCAGGACCTTCGACATGTTGGCGTTCTCCTGGAACACCTGATACACCTTGCCTCCATTGTTCTCCCTGGAGTAGTGCGCCAAGGAGCAGGCCAGCTCACTTCCGATGAAACCATTGCCCACAATGGTGATTGACCGCTTCTCCGCTGCCAGTTTCCGGAGGCGATCGAAATCATCGGGTGTGCGGTACACCATTACCTTTTCCATTACGCTGGGCGGGGCATCGCGAAGCATGGTCAGGTTCTTAGGGGCACAGCCCGTGGCAATAAGGCATTCATCGTAGCTGATCTCGCATCCGTCGTTTAGCGTCACAATGCGTTTCTGCGCGTCCACCTTCTTCACAGAGAACCCTTGAGCGACGGCTATACCGCCGTTGACACTGTCATCCAGATCCTCAGGCTCCACAAAGAACTCATCGGGCTCAAAGAACAAGCTGTTAAGGGAACAGGAGATTAACAAACAAATTAATTAATAATTACAGTTGTAGGCATACCTTCTTTCAGAACCAGTCCATTGCTTGAATCGGTAATCCTTAATGGGATCTTCGTTGGGATTGGGCGTGTACCACAGTTCCTTGGACAATGGAGGCCGCATGTAGGGCTTACGAAACTCGTTGCTGATCATCAAAACTTTGGCGGTCGCATCGTTGGACTTAATGGCGCGGAACGCAGAGAAGGCGGCGGTTCCGCCACCAATAATGAGGTAAGGCACATGCTTCGGAAGGTCCTCAGAACTGGGCGGACCTGTACATGAAATAGAAATTTAGGATTGATACTTCTATAAAAATAATTCAATGTTTTTGTCTGTGCACTTAATGGCTTATGATAAGCACCATGACGACTTTTTTGTAATTATTTCGTAATTATCCAATCATGATGATTTTGGCCAACACAATAGATAGCGCTTATCTTAACCCGACTACCAGAACGTTCTTATACAAAAAAATAATAATACAATTTTATGAATTATAACTTACTCGTAGCAAGTCCAGCTATCAATCTACGTTTCCGTAATTCCTCCTCTTCTTGGGCTTTCTTGGCTTCACTGTCATCCGTTTTCCGCGTCATGAACCAGGCGAGCTATAATGTTGGCAAACAATTAGTCAGCGCCTTTTACAGATATCCAGAGGCAAACATACCAATCCTCCTGCGAGAAGAGCAGCCAGCGCACCCAACAGACACTTGAGACGCAGATCCTTCATCCGACATTCGCAGTCCTCATCGCCACCACCACCACTTCCACAAGGAGCAGTTCCGTCCTCGTTGCAGGGCTGGCAGGTCGTTTCCTTTCGCTTGCGTTTGAACTCTTCACAGGCATTTGGTTTGCAGGAATCTATAACTGGTTGACTGTGGCTATGCTTCGCACTGTCCGAAGACTTGAGCACATCCTTGGCGCTACAAATTGGCTTTGACTCAGCAAAGCCCTAAGATGAATAAGCAAAATATTAGTAAGTGAGCCAGCAAAAATTTAAGCGGGAATGCAAATCGGATTCATGTAAAGAATTAATTTTGGTACAATAAAATTGGTGCATAGATTTTTCTGACTTGAATTCATTTGATGAATTTCACAAGGTTTGCAGGTGATTGCAAAAATTGCAAAAGCCCGCTAAATCTACTAATTTTCCTAAACATTTTTTTTAATGGAACAATTCACTTTTTATGTAGAATCCCCAGATTTGCATCCCCCAACTTAATTAGGAAACATTATGAAGGATGGAATGAGCAATGGGTACCACTTTAAAGAGTGGCTCTGATTGGTTCGGGGCTTGAAACTGGGCATTGGCATAGCTTGAAGGCTCAGGACACTCCACAGCCGCCTCGAGTTCCTCGTTGGGAAGAGTTGGGGGCTTTATGACGCAGGCTTGATGATTCGGATATTTGTTGGCTTGCAACTTGGTTCGCGCCTCAAGGGTGCGTTTCTTTACCATTTGATATAGACTGCTGTGTGCGGGCCGTAGAATGGCTGAAATCCAGGAGGAAGCACAATGTTAGTGGTAAAAAACATGAAAAAACACATAACCTCACTTACCGTGTGCCGGTGGCCATCTCTGGGGCTCTGGACTCAATAACCTCCTGTTCGCAAGGATGTATGCCTGCCGGATGAACTTCTGTGTCAAACATCGTACGCCCCAAATACTCATCGCGATTTACAAGGGATTCCGCAACAATTGACACTCCACAATTGTGTAACAAAGTTGTGCAGCAAAAGAAAACGGGTGTGCGAGTTTGTGTTTTGTTTACAAAAAAAAAACAATTACAATGACAAATTTCTCCGTGTTAAGTTTGGCAGGGTTTAATTGATCTCGGCTATTTTATCCCTCTTTGCTTTTCGGTTTTCTGGGTTCTTGCGCCTCTTTTTATTTTTCATTCCCTCGCCTGTCTTGTCTTGTTGTTTTTGGTCGCTGTCTCTCAGTGTGACCGTCGCCGTGTATCGCGAAAATGTCATACACCGTTAATTTGCTCAGAGAATACGGACTATTTAAATATACATATGTTTTATTTATTTTGAATATTAATGCAAAGGAAGTTTGTTTAGTGTACTAAGTACAAAGTATAGTTTTCGCTGCAAGTTAAAAAAGATTACATTTTAACTTCTTTTCTTATATTATTAATTATAGTTATCATCTGTATGAAATTGAAACAAATAATTTTGCAAGCATTGTCAGTATAATTGTGCGAAAACATTAAAGATATTTAGAGAAATACAGAACCTTAACTTCTATTGCCAAAAATTCATTTATCCGCGTTCGCTTGTTGCAAGGCGGCGGCTGCAGCTACTCCACTCACAGGAGGCTTGATGCCCATTAGGTGACACAGTTGATTTCGCAGCGGACGCACCTCTACCAGCGGCATAGTCCAATCTGTTTCCGAAAGCAGTGTCAGGATTTCATCCATATTATCCTCGGGTATTTCAGTTACATCGCCGTGAAGAGCCAGTGCTTCATAAAGTTTTGTGGCAGCGGTTTTGCGCACGTGGACGTGTTGCAGGCCTAGGAATACTGAGAGCTTGGAGAGAATGCGTCTGGACAAGCGAGGAACCTGCAGCAGCTGGCAAAAAGCACTTATGCTGGTAGCTGTCTTGTACAGCTTCTTGTACCCTTTAACCTCTAGATTCAACAGTCTAAAGATATCCTCCGCAAAAGGATTTGATTCATCATGAAGCACTAATTCCACAGTTCCAGAACCAATGAGAATATCCAGGAAACTAAGCATGGGATATGTCACCCGTTCGTTCAACAGGTGCTCCTCGAAGATCTGAACTACCTCAGAGCACAGACGCGGCACAGTTTCGGGATTGGAACGCAAAAATTGGAAAAAGGCACTCGAGGAATACTTGATCTGCAGAACAAAATATCTGAGAAATAAAAAAGAATGTGAGCACCTCACGGACTTACCAGAGATTCAGTTAGTTGTCCAATGCTGGCACTCAATCCCAGAAGCACTCTTTTAGAGTAATCCGGCAGAGCGAGCAGGTCGCAGAACATCGGGAATGTATGGTCGGCAAACAACCAAAGTACGGAATCGGCATCCGCTGGGAAAATCTCAAGGAGTTTTGAATGCTCACGAATATGCGGGATACTTGGCTGATGATGAATCAGTTGGCAGCAGAGGCGACCACCTAATCCTCGTGTACGATCAATCTTCTCTACCGCCTGCTGCATAAATCCAGACACAATCTTGTGAACATGCCCTGCCGTAAGGAATTCACGCGGACACTGAGTTACGATCTCGTACAGCGATGTCATGGCCGCTTCCCTCACCCAAGCACCAATATCACCGCGATTGTCTAAGGTGTATTCGTCTAGGGCTTTAAGCAGACACTCTATAACCTTATTGAAGTTCCTGGGGTCTGCGAATGAATCTGGAAGAAGGATAATTACCATATGACTGCCAACCGGTTGCAAAGGGTCCTAGACTCACCGATTCCTTCTCCATAACCGACGGTTTTTACCAATTTAGTCAATGCTCTCACACTCTCGGTCCTTGCCTCACTCCATCTATAGGTTTGGATATTTTCGCGATCGCCCATTTCACCAGCAAGAACTGCTTGCAAAGGCGTCAACGAATGCTTCACCAAACTGTCCAAAACAGCTGGCAGATGAGGACGAATCATAAATGATGGGAGCATTCCCAAAGCAGCAATGTAGCCCATGCGTATATTCTCCTCCAAGTCGTTCTCGGCTCCCCGTAAATAGGCATTGATAATGGCTTCGTTTTCTTGATATCTAGAATCCGAACAGTAGTAAGTGGCACAGAGTTGGCCAAAGGCTTCCACCGAGGAGTCACGAATAGAAGTTGTTTTTGTAACCAGACAGGCGTCTATAACCATTTGCCAAGAAGCTGAAAGCAAGAATTATTTTAATTATGCAAATAAAAAAAGTTAGCTAGCATTTCCTTACCCAAACAGTCGGTTGTCGCCTGCAGCTTAGCCAAACTGCAGTTTTTTATGTAATTGGTCGTGCACGACTTCATCAGTTCTCCGCTCATTCCGCGATAGCAGTTTCTGTCTAGGAACGTCTTTACCAAATCGTTGAGCTCCACAATTCGCTGATTGGAAAGGTAAACAACAGATGGATCACCCGTTTCCTCCAGTTTCCGCAGGGCCAGAGTGATCTCTCCCATCGCCAAAACGCAACCATGTCGGCAGTTAATATCGATGGTATCAGTTTTGGCCAGCAGTTGTGGCAGCACCACGGCGGCCATGTACTCGGGCTCCCTTAGTGATAGCTTATGCAGAGCTTTGGCAGTCAGCTCTCTTATAGCAGGATCCCAATGGTTCACTTTATGCTGCACTAGGTGATTAATCAAGGGTTCCCTGTACACCTCGAACTGGGCTATGTAATCACTGATGTTTAGATAGGAATTCTGCCGAATGCCAACAGAATAAAAATCTGTAGTGGTGGAAATCTCGATGCCAAAGGGAAAGTTTCCCAAGCGACCAACGCTTTCCTGGAAAGCAGCGGAGGCAGCTCGCCTGCAGTTCACCTCGCGATCAAAAACAGCAACGGTCAATAACCCTGAGGAGATTTTCTGCACAAAGGGTTTGACGTCATCCGGATTGTAGGCCCTTGCAAAAGCCCAGCACATGTAGCATGCGGAATCGCGGATGTGCTGACCAACCGACATGTAGCCCTTCATTTCGTCGTAAAAGAGAGCCTGCATTAGGAGCGGGACCAGCTCCTCTAGTCGATGCGGCAGCAGCAGTCCCCTTTTTGCCAGTTCTGCCAATGCCAAACAGGCACCGTGCCAGGCTTCATGGGGTTCTAGTGGGTTCAGTATGTCAATCACTGAGCCTATAACCTCATCGGCCAGCTCCTTGGGCAAGCGATTGGTAACTCTGCCCAATCCTTTGGCCGCACTCCAGCGTATATCGTTTCCGCCGCTTCGCAGAGCCTGCAGCAGCTCTTCGATCACCTCTTCTATGGCATCAGGCACTAGAATCTCCTCACCTTCTTCTGGTAACACCTCTGAGGCAGCCGATCCGCCTCCTGTGTCTGCGGCCTGGCTAAGATTGGTGGCCAGTGAACGCGTGCCTTAAACGTGTGGGGTCAATTTAAAAACGTAATAAATGTTGATTAGGCAAACTCACCCCTATTGTACCGCCAGCTGGCAATACGTGGCTTCAAATGGACTAATCCGATTCTCTGGACTATTTTTACATAGTTTTTATACTTAAGAAAGTCGTTGCCATCCTTATACTGACAGGAGGTTATCCACTGAAGCAGCTTGTCTGCATATGGCAGAAGATCCTCTCGTTTGCCGTGCTTCAAAATAGCAGCCACGGCAGCCAGCTGGCCAAACTTGACGTTCACCGTATCCGCCTGGTGCTGATCTATAATCCAGTTAAGAAATCGTTCCAGGTACAGATCCTTGATGTCGCTACGAACAAAATACTTGGCGGCCAAATAGGCAGCCATGCTACTGCACGTATCATTTGTGGACACATAAAGCTGGATCAGCTCAAAAATGCGTTCCATCTTGGTGGTCTTCGACTGGACATGATTGGTGGGGCTGCAGTTGGATATGGGATTGGGAGTTGTTTCATATGCATCCAGACGCGACATGTGAAAAGGGTTGAGGACTAGGATAGACATCCAAAGAAGCAGTATGTAACGCGTTTCCCACTGGTCAAACTCCTTGGGATCCTGCTGGCCCAGTAGATCTAGCACAAACTCCAGATCGCTCAGCTCGTGGGGCATAAACTTGACCAGAACCTTATAGGTGCGAACTTTGCAGATGATGTAGAGATACTTGAAAGCCGCATGACGTTCCCCGTTGTCCAAATCCGGCCTGCGAATCTTTTGCAAAAGCTTGCCTAGCAGCTCCTCCAAATGTGGATCCAGCAAATGCGGCTGCTCCTGGTATCTGGTCAAAACTTGGGCGTATTGCTCGAATTCCCTTTCGAAGGTGCCAGCACCAATAGATTTGATGTTATCAATCATTTGCAGCACTTGCTGCAGTTCGCTGAAATGCTCCAGCGTATTTGCGGGCAGGTCCTCCTCCTTGAATTCCTCACCAGGGTTCGACATGGTTTTTTAACTACTTAATCCAGTTTCAAACCCACAGCCGGCAAAAATAAAAAATTACTTTGTGAATCATTTGTTTGGCTGCCAGAGTTGCCACGCTCAGTGTGGCCGTTCCACTCGCAGCTGCTGATACCGCATCAGCTGTTCGGTAGAGTTGCCAGGCGAAGGGCGGCACGGCAAAGCGGATCTGCGAGTTTTCGTCGCGTGAATTTTTTTCCTTTATCTACCTTCAAAACGCATCAAAGCAAATAAAGTGTTTTGTTGTGGAGCTAAATTTTCCTAACTAACCGCTCACACAATCGTCGCGTTTGCTGTGAGCGCGGTGAGTGAAAAAAATCGCGTAGAAAGTACGAAACCCGCATTCGCATTTGTTGACAAATCAAGATTTTTGGTCTTTAGCAAGCAATGAAGTCGGATAATTTTCGCCTCATAACGGAGGTCGCGAAGCGGCGGTGTCTGTGGGACACCAACATGTCCATGGCCTACCGCAACCAGGAAGCAGCCCTTCAGTGGGCGACTGTCGCAGAGATTTTGCAGATAGATGGTGAGGAATCGGACAAAAGCGATTTTGGGCCTAGAAACCTAGAAAACCTATAAATAACACCTAATTTTTTTGCAGTCGCGCTCTGCAAGAAGCGATTCAAGTGCTTGAGGGACAGCTACCGGGCGGAGGTGCGCAAGATTCAGAAGCAACGCATTGCGATGTCACACTGGACATACTTCCGCTCATTGGAGTTTATGCGCCACTTATTCGATCCGGAGCGACTAGTGCCCTTTCCGCCAGAGACCTCCGACTTGGACCTGGACCCAGAGCCTTCTGAGGACTGCGAGTCCACACGGCTGGTCGATTTCACCATAGATGTGGACGTTGACAACGATGACTCCGTTGATTTTGAAATAATCGGGGACATTTTTAAACGGGAACCTTCGTTGACCCAGGATTCGGGTTCGGATGGTGGTTCGCTGATTAAACCCTTAAACTCCCCCTACCCAGCGATCCATCGCTCTGATAAGGATCTCTCGCCCAAATGGCAGTCACCCAAGCACTTGCCGTACGACAAGCCCCTGCCACGTCCCAATCCTCCTTCGAAAAGGGCTCGCCATAGGAAGACCTCGTCCCCGATCGATGGACCGATTTTAAATGGTTTCAATGGCAAGCCCACTCCGCCAAGTCTTTCCAATGATGCTGATTTAAAGAACGATTCGGACTACAGCTTCATGGTGAGCATGGTGCCCCACGTCAAGTCGCTCTCGCCTATCGGCAATCTCAAGTTTCGCATGGAGATGGCCCGCGTCCTCGTGGAACTCAGGAAGGAGGATCAGCAGATGGCCGAAGGAGCGGGAACGGTGACGGGAGCTGTGGTGGGATCAGGAGCAGTGCGTGCGGGCGGGTTGCCCAAACTAACGCCCGCTCCGGACTCGAGTTTTGCATCTCAACTGGGGAATCCTCAGTACCTCACCTCCAATTCCAGCTACCCAAATCGTAGACCATCGTCACCATCTCCCTACGAATATGTCGACAGCTCCATGATCGAATGTGATGTAAAAATTGAGAACGAAGCCTTGCTCTGAGAATAGGGATTTCAGCTGTCTACCAATTAGCTATCATCCAAATTATGTTTCGATTTTACATCCAGAAGCAATTTGCTAAGGACTTATCCAAAAAGTTTTAATATTGTTTATCAATACAAATAGCATAAGAAGGTCTTGTCAAATATATGACACGGTTATCAATTTTCCATTTCTGCTGGTAATTTCATAGAATAATTATCAGATATAAGACATTTTTCAATTCGTATTTTTTTGCCATTTACTGATAAGTGTGCAAATAATTTGCAGCGATACATTTAGTGGTTAATGTAAATTCTTGATAATACGTAATATAATATGATGTTTTCCATCAAAAGGTTAATTTTAACATTTGGAAAAATAAAGGCTTAACCTCATTCTCACAAGATGTTTTTAAATGTGGTAACCCCTTATTGATTTGTAACCTTATTTAAGAAATGCATCATCGGCAAACAATTCCAAAACCTGGTGGAATCTTGGCTTTCTTGAATTTGATTTGCCTTCAGATTGAATTTTTAAGAGATTTCTTATTTACATACATAAATATACATATGTGCATACAATTTGGTAAAAAGAGTAAGAGGAATAAAAATGTAGCTTGGGGTTGAAGCTTCATAGGAACCTTGGGTAAGTGATGTAAAATCTTTGTTTTGCTCATTGTTAGGGTTTCTGTTCCGTACGTTCCGTACGTTTCGGGGCTTCCAATGCTTTTTATGTTCAAATATTTATACTGCAACAAATAGCATAAATTTATTTACAGCTTTCCAAATAGTTGAATAAAAGAGTATTAATTAAGCTTATAATAATATTTAGAAGTACAATGGGTCTACTACATAAATGTTATGATTTTGTTTGTTTTATATGGTAGAAACGCTGTGAAAAACATTTCAGAATTATTCTTTTATTTATTGTTCCATTTTAAGCGTTCCAAAAACAAGTCCCTGCATTTGATCTTCTCGTCACGCCGCCAAATATTTAGTTCCCTCCGCAGGACGGTCACATTGGTGACACTGCTTCAACATCAAAGTGTGAAAATTTTGATAAAAATTTCGAAAAGTACAGGGATCTGATTAATTTGGGAGCAGATATAAGCCACCACAGCATAGCGCCCGTGTGTTCCACCTGATCGGAAAATGCACAAATCGACAGACCGGATGCGGCGTCTGAAGAAGCTAAAGAGCGTTACGGGTTCGCAGGATGTCGGTGGTGGTGGAGAAGGAGCAGCTACGGTGGCGGAAAACCGGACCTCCGATCCTTCGGACACAAACGGCGGAGCCACTACCGGAAAGGATCCGAGCGTCTTTAATCCGGACATCTTCAAGCACTTAGACAAAGCCGGACGAAGCGAATTGTACGTGGTTCCACGCTCAGACACCGATACAAACGCTGCCAGAGATATACAAACGCGCGCGCACACACACACACTTGCAGTTTACACTGGCTGCCGTCAGTTTGTGTCCTGCTGCTGTTGGATATTCGCGCGCTCTTGTGTCGACTGTTTGGATCAACTGTGCTCGATATCACCCATAGCTAAATAACACATTTACTTCTAGCCTGAAGTACCTCAAGCTACAGCTGCAGGATGCCGCAGATACGCCCGTTTACGACCGGAACGGCGTCTTTAAGCAGGGCATTTCCAACGCCATTTACGAGCTCCTCTGGCAGGCCCTGCGGTTTACCCATAAGAAGGACCTGGTTCTCCACCTGCTCCTGGAAGTCGTGGTAAGTGGGATAGAATCGGGTGGAACAAAAACCTTTCAAGGGCTTCGATTTGTGAGACAATTAATTAAAGCGATAATTGTAGTTACTTAACCTTTAATTTTAATCAAGTAAATAAAGTGAATAATTCCTTTAATATATACAACTTTTTTCAGGCTCTGCATGCGGACTTCCCAAGCCTCATAGTGGACGTGGTCAACATTCTGGATAGCGAAACCTCGCTTATGACCGAGGGATTGCATGAAGAGCGTCATGCCTTTGTGCAACTGGTCAAGGACTTGGACAAGGTAGTTCCAGAAAGTCTGCTGAAAGAGCGCTTGGAAATTGACACATTGCAGGAGGTGGGAATTGTTAAGAACAAGAGTTTCTACTCCAAGTTTATCAAGGTCAAAACCAAGTTATAGTATGTATTTAACGATTATAAATAGGTATACGTACTATGTAATTTTCCCTATTCAATTTTAGCTACAAGCAGCGCCGCTTTAATCTTTTCCGTGAGGAGAGCGAGGGCTTTGCCAAGCTAATTACAGAACTCAATCAGGAATTTGAAGAGAGCACCACGCCAGAGAGCATTATGGACATAATTAAATCTCTCATAGGTAATATTTACGGTTTACTAATTATTCATTTTTAATAAATCCTTTTTACAGGCTGCTTCAATCTGGATCCCAATCGCGTGCTGGACATTATTATCGAGTCCTTCGAGACTCGACCGGACCGCTGGAACTTGTTTATTCCCCTGCTGCGCAGCTACATGCCCACCGGTGCCATAATTTGCGAGGTCCTTGGCTACAAGTTCTGTCACTTTAAGGACTCCCGCACGCCGCGCTCCCTATACCATGTTTGTGCTCTTTTGCTAAAGCATGGTGTTATTGCGCTAAACGATGTCTATGTCTGGTTAACTCCGAATGACGGAAGTATCAAGGCGGATTGGGAGGAGGAGCTGGCTGATGCCAGAGAAATGGTGCGCAAGTTAAATCTCATCCAAACCAACAAAAAGGAGGACGAAAAGGATCCGCCACCTCCGCCCTCTGTTAAAAAATTCAATGAGGTAATAATTAACAATCCAATTTGAACATTGATTCTTATATAATTATTTTACCTCAGGAAAAGTACAATGCCAATCAGAAGTTTGGTCTCTGCGAGGCCTTACTTAAAGTAGGTGACTGGGAGAATGCCTACAAAATCATCCAAAAGCTGCCAGAACAGGCCGTCGTGCTTCAGGAACCCATCGCCCGTGCCATCGCCGATCTGATTCACCTGTCCGTTGAGAACATTTACTACAAGAAGTGCTTTAAGGCACCAGCGGGTCGAAGGCAGAGCCGGAATCGTTTATACGACGATTCCAAGTTGGTGGCCAAGATGCAGGCGAAGGAGTTTCGCGATTTGAGGAAGTACACCTGGCCGATGGCTAATGTCTTGGGTCCTGCGATGCATTATGACACTGTGCTGATGTACAAGCTTATACGGATTATGAAAAAACTTGTAGTAGAAATGGGCGTAGACAGCTTGAACGGACCACCGCCAAATTCAGAAGCCGAGCAGCATTACTATGACATTATGAGTTCGCTCGATGCCTGTATCCTTCCCTCGTTGCTCTACCTGGACAACAACTGCTCCATGTCCGAGGAGATCTGGGCCGTGCTCAAGTATTTCCCGTACCACTTCCGCTACAGTTTGTATGCGCGTTGGAAAAACGACAGCTACCAGCTGCATCCGAATTTGATCAGACGGTGTGGATTGGCTCAGCGTGATATTAAGGCTCTGATGAAGCGAGTGAGCAAGGAGAATGTTAAGCAGCTGGGTCGACTGGTAGGAAAGTACAGCCACTGTGCGCCAGGACTTCTTTTCGATTATGTAAGTTTCGTTAACTGTTGTGGCTAATCGAATTTTCCCTAACTGTCTTCTAATATCAATAGATTCTCTTGCAAATACAAATCTATGACAATCTCATCGGCCCCGTCTGCGACATGCTCAAGTATCTGACTGCCTTGTCCTTCGACTGCCTGGGATACTGCATCATTGAGTCGCTGACGTTAACAGGTCGTCTCAGGTTCAAGGACGACGGCACTTCTTTGTCTTTGTGGCTGCAAAGCTTGGCCTCATTTTGTGGCACAATCTACAAGAAGTACAGCATCGAGCTAAGCGGATTGCTACAGTATGTGGCAAATCAACTGAAATCACAGAAGAGTTTGGACCTACTGATCCTGCGGGAGATCGTGCACAAGATGGCGGGCGTAGAGTCCTGCGAAGAGATGACCAACGACCAGTTGCAGGCGATGTGCGGCGGCGAACAGCTCAGGGGAGAGGTAACTACTTTAAAAATGACTGGGATATATAGAGTCTTATTTCTGTAACAATTATCTCCTGGCAGGCTGGCTACTTCAGTCAAGTGAGGAACACAAAAAAGTCTTCGAACCGTCTAAAGGAGGCCTTGGCCAACAACGATCTTGCTGTGGCTATTTGCCTGTTAATGGCGCAACAAAAGCATTGTGTCATTTATCGCGAGACGGCGGCGCAAAGTCACTTGAAGTTGGTGGGAAACCTGTACGATCAGTGCCAGGACACTCTGGTCCAGTTCGGTACCTTCTTGGGGTCCACCTACTCTGTGGACGAGTACGTTGAACGCCTGCCCTCGATCATCACCATGCTGCGGGAGTACCACATTAACACAGATGTGGCCTTCTTTCTGGCCAGACCCATGTTCACCCACCAAATCAATGTAAGTGGTTTGATATGTTCAATAATCTGTAGAATGAATATTAATACATCTTTAATCATTTTGTAACAGCAAAAATACGACCAGCTACGCAAGGCTGATCCCAACGCCAAGAAGCTGACCACAGCGCAAAAGCTGCAAAAGTATCTGGAGGCCACGCAGCTGATTATGAATCCAATCGTTGAATCCGTTCGTCCACTGCACAGCGCTAAGGTGTGGGAGGACATAAGTCCGCAGTTCCTGGTCACCTTCTGGAGCCTGAGCATGTACGATTTGCACGTGCCGAACGAGAGCTACCAACGCGAGATCGGCAAGCTGAAGCAGCTGGCCCAGCAGGCGGCCGAGGGCAAGGACTCCAATCAATCGAAGAACAAGAAGGAGCAGGAGCGCTACATCGCGCTGATGGAGAAGCTGAACGACGAGCGAAAGAAGCAACACGAGCACGTGGACAAGATCTCGCAGCGACTGCAGGAGCAAAAGGATAGTTGGTTCCTGCTTCGGTCCGCCAAGTCGGCCAAAAACGACACCATCACGCAGTTCCTGCAGCTTTGCCTCTTCCCGCGTTGCACCTTCACAGCCCTGGATGCGCTGTATTGCGCCAAGTTCGTGCACGCCATACACAACCTCAAGACTTCGAACTTCTCCACATTGCTGTGCTACGATCGGGTTAGTTCACTTCACTGATTGTGTTTGTATAAAAATAGATTTCATCTGTTTATGCAACTTCAGATATTCTGCGACATCACGTACTCGGTGACTTCGTGCACGGAGGGTGAGGCCACGCGGTACGGCCGTTTCCTGTGCGCCATGCTGGAGACAGTGATGCGGTGGCATGCGGATCAGGCGGTTTTCAACAAGGAGTGCGCCAACTATCCTGGTTTCGTGACCAAGTTTCGCGTGAGCAATCAGTTCTCGGAGGCCAACGATCATGTTGGCTATGAGAATTATCGCCATGTGTGCCACAAGTGGCACTACAAGATCACCAAGGCGATCGTGTTCTGTTTGGACTCGAAGGACTTCATGCAGATCCGCAATGCTCTGATCATTCTAATGCGCATCCTGCCTCACTATCCGGTTCTTGCCAAACTGGCGCAGATCATCGAGCGGAAAGTGGACAAAGTGCGTGAGGAGGAAAAGACAAAGCGACCGGATCTGTATGCCATTGCCTCCAGCTACATTGGTCAGCTGAAGCTGAAGACGCCTCACATGCTCAAGGAGAGTGACTTCCACCAGATGGCCGAGCGGCCCAACAAGGATTCACCGACCACTGCTGGTGCATCTGGCACTCCCATCAAATCGGACAAGATGTCGCCCACCTCGCCCCCTGCGCAGGCGGGTAAAGTCACCGGCGGAGCTTCTTCCTTTTACAACAACGAACAAAAGTCGGGCATCAAGGAACCTGAGGCGAAAGCAGGTAAGGAAAATACATTTCTTACTTAACTAAAAGAAAAATGCGATTGCCTCAAAACTAATAATAAATTGGTGCTTTCCCTAGCTTCCCTTTCGCGCAGCGATTCGAAGAACCAAAAAAGCGAGGGCAACAGCGCCACCATGGTATCCACTGCCACCTCAGCGTCAACGACTTCCAGCAACGATCGTGAGAGCAAGCAACGTGATCTGCCGGCGCCACGGGAATCCCAGTCCCGCAGCAAGGATGACCAGCTGGAGCAGACGAACAACGGCAGCAATGGCAGCAGACAGAGCGAGAGTCGCAACCGAGATGCGGAGCGGGACAGACAGGATCAGCACGACCAGCGACACGGCAGCATTACTAGCCATCGCAGCTCCCGGGTCAAGGAGCGAACTGAAGCGGAACAGCATCAGAGGTCGCGGGAGCGCTCCCAGCGCCTCGAAGAGTTGGAGGCGCAGCAGAGGGGTCTGAAGCGCGAGAAGTCTTCGCGGCGCGGCGGCGATGAGCGACATCGGCACGGAGATGCTGTGGAGACTGTGGATTTGGTGGGCAGCACCGATAATCGTCACTATGATGAGTTCGAGGGACGAATGCGGGACCGTGACTTGAGCTCCGTGTCCAATGAGAGCAACGGTTCGATGCAGCACCGACAACGTAGCCATGAGACCATTGAAAAAGGTTTGTTGCTCATCTCGAAATCTATCATTCATTTATAACTGAATTATTTGCCAGATTCAAAGCGTCGCAAATTGGAATCGTCAACCAGCAGTTCAAAGGTTAGTAGCATATGGTTGCAGACATAAGTACGCTAAGACAACAGTATAAAACAACAACACGACTATGATGACGATCTGGAGGGAAAACACATGAAGTTACAACTGAGCATGCAACGCCTTCTCCAAGCTGCGACTCCAAAATATGAATCAGCAACGAGCCCACCACCCTTAAAAATAGAAAAAACGTGCGGCGGATCTCGTTCTCAGCGGCTATATTCTTTATTTCTAAGTATTAAAATTAGGGGTATTAGATTTAAGCTATAAAAGTGAAACTTTTTGGACCAATGTCACAGGACCTTTGTAAATTTGTGGAGGAGAAAATTTTTTTTTTGTACAATCAAGTGTTAAATAATTGTAGTAGAATAAGAAAAGTAGTGTAAATACCTGACCGATTTGGAGTATGGGACCATGAAGACGACAATCGCAAACAAAAAGACGAATCTCGCTGGAAGCGTGGAGGAAACTTTTCTAAACCAAAAAGTGACTATGGCGGAGGAGCTTGACAACAATGTTTAAAGAAACCCGAGGAGATTGAAGGAAGAGTCTACAAAAGAAAAACAAAAAAAAAATCATCATTATAAATCATCATAGAAAACTGCAATTGTCATGCATCACAACAAAAGTATTCAACACACCGTGAAAAACATAAAAGAAGTTAAGCCGGATAAAATAATTTAAAACGCTCTGATGAAGGAAACACTTTACTAATTTGGCGCAATACTGGACTACTTGTTACATAACTACTCAAAGAAAATAATTCCTTTACTTCGTTGGAGAACATCACATCAAACTCTAAATGTTGTTCTACGTGGTCCTGCAACTCAACAGTAAAAGAGGATTACATGACCGGATCAATCACAGCTTTTTAAAAACTGGAGTGCCATAGAGAAACATCTTCTACAGTCCGAAACATTAAAGTAAAACTAAAAGTTGGGATACTAATTTTAATGACAACTGTTACATTATCAACATAATATAAGAGGATCAAAGCGGATAAAAACTACCGAAAAATGAACGAAATCTGCACATATTCCCTGCGGAACTGTTAACTTCAAACTACGTAAACAATCAATTTGGCTAAACTAAAATCCTAAGGAATCCCCGTGGAGCTTTGACACTGCCGCTTTTCGGGTTACGACCCTGAACTCACCTGTGCAGCCCGGATTAGAGGTTAATTCCTTGATGAAAATCATTACATGGACGGAATCTACAAATATCTTTGGAGAACTTTAAACGTAATCCCTCAACCACATTTTGGAAAACCTAAAATCCTGAGGAATCTCTGTGGAGCTCCGACACAGCCGCGAATCTGGTTACGTTCCTGCAGTTACCTGTGCAGCCCAGTTTAGTTGTTAATTCGTTGATGTTGAGACTGTGCACGGGTAAGTGATGGACGCGTGGCGGGGCGGCGGACTATTAAACTATGCATATGTATAAGACACAGGACAACAAACAGACTCAGGCGAACACCAAACACAGATCTTTTCGGTTTTTGTTCCAGTTTTAAGTAGTCCGACACTCAGATTGTTAAATGTTAGGGTTAGAAAGAATTTAGCTACACTTTTACAACCATTAATCCTGTGCCGTTGCAGAAGGTGGAGGAACTGGTGGACAGCGTGAAGAAGGCGCGCGGCATCAAGACCAAAGAGCGCAACAAGGACAAGCTGTCGGACGAGGAGCGCGACGCCCGCAAGGATCGCAAGTTGGGGCGCAAGCGCGACCGCACTGAGGAGACCAACAGCAACGAACACAAGCGCCGGCGCGAAGGTGAGAGAAAACACATATTTCGGAGATTCAAGAGATTCAAGAAAGAACGATTTTCAGCACAAAATGGCGAAGACGAAATCCGGGAAAGAGAGCGGCATAGAGTGAGTTTTATCTCTGATTTATAGAGCTCATAGAGTTAACCAAAATCTATTTTACTTTATAGGAAAAGTCCCCACGGGAGCGTTCTAATGAAAAATTCGAAAGGGAAAGGGCCAGCGGTTCGCGAGCCGAAGAGCGGCAGTACGTCAAGTCGACGCGCTCCTCCAGAGTCAACTACTAAATGCAATCGGGGATTGATACTCCCCGGTTTCGTGCAGTGTGCATCGCATTTTGATTAATTTTAAAGAATTTGGAGTCGTTTATTCGTCAGGAGCAATTATTTTATCAAAGAGCGAAACTAATTTTGAAATATTTACAATTTTTTAGCAAATATTTTAAAAAGAAAAATCCAAACAATTACATTGTAAAAATTATCAACGATTTGTGTTAATTCAATGGGTCTAACAATAGCCAAAACATTTGTTTATAATAGATATTGATTCCATTCCCCCAAGAGATTTCCTGAATGTGTTTAAATTTTTTATTTTATGTGCATAATAAAATTGTATATTTCAATAAGATATTTTCGAAACGTAACGTTTTATTTGCTGACCAACCGACAACTCTGCTCAAAACACCAGTTTCTATATATTTCGAATCAAATTTATTCAATTTAAATTAATTTTTACATTTAACAGTTGAACTTGAGGTTTAATCTCGATAAAAACACGCATATCCGATGTCTAACAAGCTTGCCACTAACGTTTATTATAAATTTTCCATTAGTTTAAAATCTTTTGGTTTCTTTTGGTTTTACTTTGAAAGTTTTCCTGAGGTCTTTTTAGGTAGGTTAGGTACCGTTGGTGTTGTTGATTCGATTCCGCAGTGATGAGAGAACTTGTTGGATTCTTTATCTTGGATTTTTATTAAATAAAATATTAACAATCTGGGCTGAGGCCCGTGTTTACTTGGTTAGTTTTAGTTGTTGCTTTTGGCGCCTATAATTGGACTTTGACTTTAACAAAAGTAAAGCACATAAATAATAAAATAATATCGAAAATTGATTTAGTTCTGTGGCTGATCCTCCGGCGCTGGCAGCTTCTCCCAGGTGGGCTCAACGCCCCAGATCTCGCGGGCGTACTCGGCGATGGTGCGATCCGACGAGAACTTGCCGCTGGACGCAATGTTGTTGATGGACATCTCCAGCCACTTGGCTTGGTTCTGAAAAAAGAAATATTTAAATCATTTTTAAATCAATTTAAATTGTGGCATACTGAAATGCTCACCTGGTAGGTCTTGGACACCAGATCCTGGGCCTTGATGTACGCATCGTAGTCGGCCAGCAAGTAGTAGTGGTCGTACTTGAGCAGAATGTCGGCAATGTTCTTGAACTCGTTGGGATTGCCGGGGCTGAAGAAGCCGCCCTGGATCTGGTCGATCACCTGCTTGACCTCCGGGTTGGTGTTGTAGTAGTCGTAGGCGTTGTAGCCCTTCTTCTTGAGGGCCTCCACCTCGTCGACGGTCATGCCGAAGATGAAGATGTTGTCCAGACCCATCTCCTCGGCCATCTCGACATTGGCGCCGTCCAGGGTGCCGATGGTGAGGGCGCCGTTCAGCTGGAACTTCATGTTGCCGGTGCCGGAGGCCTCTGTGCCGGCGGTGGAGATCTGCTCCGAAAGATCGGCGGCGGGCATGATCTTCTCGGCCAGGGTGACGCGGTAGTTCTCCAGGAAGATCACCTTCAGCTTGTCGCCGACGATGGGATCGTTGTTCACCACATTGCCGACGGCGCAGATCAGCTTGATGATCTGCTTGGCCACATAGTAGCCGGGAGCAGCCTTGCCGCCGATCATGATTGTCCTCGGGGTGAAGTTGGCGGTGGGATCCTTCTTGATCCTGTTGTACAGGGTGATGATGTGCAGGCAGTTCAGCAGCTGTCGCTTGTACTCGTGGATGCGCTTCACCTGGATGTCGAACATCGACGAGGCGTTCACCTTCACGCCGTAGTCCTTCTCCAGGATAGCGGCCAGCTTCAGCTTGTTCTCCTGCTTGACGCGGGCCACGTTGCGCTGGAAGTTCGGGTCCTTGGCCCACTTCTTCAGGGCGACCAGCTGGTCCAGATGCACTGGCCACTCGTCGCCGATCTTCTCGGCAATCAGATCGGACAGGCCGGGATTGCAGAGCAGCAGCCAGCGACGTGGGGTGATGCCGTTGGTCTTGTTCTGGAACTTCTGGGGCTCCATTTCGTAGAAGTCGTGGAAGAGCGAGTCCTTCAGGATCTGCGAGTGGATGGCGGCCACACCGTTGACGGCATGCGAGCCGACAATCGACAGGTGGGCCATGTTGATGCGCTTCTCGCCATCCTCCTCCACCATCGACATGCGGCGCATGCGATCCAGGTCGTCGGGGAACTTCTTCTTCACGTTCTCCATGTGCAGGAAGTTGATGTGGTAGATGATCTGCAGGTGGCGCGGCAGGATCGACTCCAGCAGGGAGACCGGCCAGCGCTCGAGGGCCTCGGGCAGCACGGTGTGGTTGGTGTAGGCACAGCTCTTCACGGTGATCTCCCATGCCTTCTCCCAGGTGAGGTGCTCCTCGTCGACCAGGATGCGCATCAGCTCGGGAATGGCCAGCGACGGATGGGTGTCGTTCAGCTGGATGGCCACCTTGTCGGGGAAGTGGTCGAAGGTGTTGCGCACCGCCTCCCGCGATCCGAACTTCGAGGCCTTGTACCGGCGGATGATGTCCTGCAGCGTGGCGGCGCACATGAAGTACTCCTGCTTCAGACGCAGCTCCTTGCCCTCGAAGAAGTTGTCGTTGGGGTACAGCACTCGCGAGATGTTCTCGGCCAGATTGCGGTCGAGCACGGCCTGGATGTAGTCACCATCGTTGACTGAAAGGGGAAAAGATTCATAAAAACGTCAATAACATAAACCCAAAATAAGGAATCATTTCATTAAGTTTCCTAGATCTTTTAACCATTTAAAGGTATTTTTTTGAAATTTGTGTTCAAGTGAGAAGAGCAAGGATACTTTCTTATTTTAAACTCAATTAATTACTCACAGAACTTCAGGTTGAAGTCGATGGGCGACTTGGCGGACCACAGACGCAGCGTGTTCACGTGGTTGTTGTTGTATCCGGGAATGGGGTTGTCGTAGGGCATGGCGAACACCTTCTGGGTGTCTACCCACTTCTTGCCCTCGGGCGTGTCGATCACACGGCCGTAGAAGTTGATCGGGAGCATGAACTCCGGACGGGCCTTCTCCCAGGGATTGCCATAACGGAGCCAGTCATCGGGCTCCTCCACCTGCTCGCCGTTCTTGATCTTCTGGGCGAAGATGCCGTACTCGTAACGGATACCGTAGCCATAGGCGGCCAGGCCGAGAGTAGCCATCGAGTCCAGGAAACAGGCGGCCAGACGACCCAGACCACCGTTGCCCAGACCGGCGTCCTCCTCCATCTCCTCCAGGTTCTCGATGTCCAGACCCAGCTGGTACATGGCCTCCTCGCACTCGCTCTGGATGCCCAGGTTGATCATGGTGTTGGTCAGGGAGCGACCCATGTAGTACTCCAGCGACAGATAGTAGACGCGCTGAAAGGTAGACATTGATATATATCATCAGTTAATTAGTTTACAATTTCATTTGTTTGTTCAGGTGTGATTAAGAATATGTTACCAAATATTATGAAACAAGGTTTTAATTGTGGCAGTATGCAACCTTAATGGATAAATATTATACAAAAGACGCCAAATATTATCATATAGTTGATGCATACATGGTTTATTATACCTAGTAGTTGCTTAAAAGGAGAACATATTCGTATACCGAAATTCTGCTTGTTTATCGGATTAAAGAGCATTATAAGTCAGAGAAGAGCAAGAGATCTGAGTGCTCAAGAGAGTGGGATCATCAAACTTATTGGGAAACCAGTTTGGCCGCGAATTTCCGTAGTGATTAGCCAAGTGCAAGGTCTCCACACAGCCAGGCTCAACTGTACAGTGCATAATGCCCCCGAATGCCTGATAAGAAAGGCGCCGACTAACGCTGAAAGACCTAGTTATGTTTGGCCAGAAGGTCACCCAGTTCCCAGTGGAATAATGCCTTATCAGGGGGGAAATCGCCCGGTAATTTCAGGGCAAGCCAACTGGAAAACTATAAATAGAGGAAGGCATTCACAATCACCGGTTCGATTCAGTTCGAATCTATCGATCGATGTTACGAGGGCATTTATTGTGTTTATGGCAACAGCTATCAACAGATTGCAGGCTGCACTTTGCATGCTGGGCAAACATCATGGCGAAGCATGAACATATATAACTCGGGATCGGGATCGGGATTGGGATCATTATCGCTGCCCAATGCTGGGCTAATCATCGATCGATCGATCGATCACGGATCACCGATCAGCATTGACGACAACATCGCTGACAGTGTCGCCAGTTAATGGCTCCAATGGCTCCCTGGGTATGCTAATCCCAATCCTTATCAGTCCACCTATGTAATCTATGCCCCAAAACGCATACCTCCGGCGCATGCTGATTTCAGATGTCTGATGCTATGTGATCCGGCAAAAAACTATAGCTAATTAGTGCGGAATGTTTGGCGAGCGCGTTTCTGTGTGCATATTTGTAGGTGAAAGGGGTTAAGGCGCGGCTATAGAATCTGGGGATTTTCGATTAGGAATATTTTGCAAACTATTTAGCAGATAAGATATACTGAATGAGATAGTGGGCAAATATTAATTGCCTTTTATTATGATGTTTATGTTCTCATTGCAATTAGTATGTGATCACATTAAAAAATAATATTATTCCACAGCATAATAGTTCCTAATAAGTTATGTAAGCAAATATGTAAGCAATCTTTAATCTGTTCTGAAAATCGTGGTTGATAAAGGAACATGTTTGCCATGAGCTCTTCATGTGATTCAAGATTCTGTAATGTTATTATTTAAAAACAATATAATCAAATTGGGACTCGAAAACAGGGAAATTGATTCTAAGCATGATTGTTTCTGTAGACCCAAATAATGATGTGAATAACCTAGTTAGCTTATCTAATCAAAAACTCTGAGCTGCACAACAAACCATGAGTAATCTCTTAGATCCATAAAAAGCTTTCAAAGTCATTCAACTGCCGGTGGTGATATTTTTCACAGCTGTTCGCTTTGTGTAGGGTGTTTCGCAAACGATCTGGCCTGGCCAGCAGTAGAATTAGAGCCCAGACATATGATTTTTTTGCGGCTTTGATAAAGAACGCCTCAACAACAAACGACCGGTATTTTGTTTGCATTTGTTGTTTATTGTTTTCTTACCTACATATATGCAATAAATAAGTTACAGATGTGCATAGGAAATTGGAAATGCGATAGTTTTGCTGATGTAACATTGAACATTCATTGATTCCTGATACATAAACGCTTTTAATTCGGTTTCCATGCGGGTGATAAGTGGTACAATATTTTCTATTGGGTCAGCCTGACTTGTGGAAAACTACAGGCGAGTAAATAACTCTTTTATGTGGCTATCCACCCCGCTGAACTTTCTTCAATTTGCATAAATTGGTACAGAGCCCAATGGGCGTCAAGTCGTCTTCAATTAACTTTAAGTACTGGGCTACGCATAATAACAGCTGTTCAAGTATCCGAGAGATACAATTGACAACTAGCAATATACACATTTCTCTCTCTGTTCAGTCGGTTGCGTGAGCTAATTGCATGTGGGGGGACAACTACACAAAATCGGGCCTATAAAAGTTCCACAACCTGAACGAAAAGAATATATAAATGTATATATATCGTGCGCACGAAGAGCAGCCGAAATTGTAGCCAAAATAAAAGCCCAGAGAAAGAACAAATATATGGGGGAAATTTTCCTTGATATTTTTGTCAGTTGGTTGTTGTTAACAACCTTTGATTGACCTTGAAAATATGTGTGCCGCTTCGGCGGCAGTTTCCACAAATTAGTTAAATTGGAAATATTTATCACCCAAAAGTGTATGTAGGTTGAACTTCTAGTGGTAGAGTCAATGGAAAATTAATAGATACATTTTTGGGGGCTTACGAACGGAAATTGAAAGTGATTTAAGCTGACATTCAGCAAGGACAAAAGTGTTTAGATGCTCGAAATTTGCAAATGGAAAGCTCACGATTCGGGCACGTGCATGAGTAGATATATATATACATATTGTGTATCTGATGGATACGCTTTAGAAGGCGGCACTTGCTGCGCACACTTGCTAAACTTAAACTGCATTTTCTGGGGTAATCGTCGAGAAAATTGTGAGCCAAGGCCCTTGGAATTTTACTTTTGAAAAACTAATAAATATGTTTGCATAGGTATAAAAGTAGCTCAACGACAGCTGCTATATGGATGCTATTTTTAAGCTTTTGTTGCTTAGTCAGCTGGCGAGGGGAAAATTTCAAATAGGAGCGAGAAAATGGGGAAGGTGGTTGACAAACTCGCCGGCTTTTTGTAGCACCTTTGCAATTTGTTGCAGTGAAAGTGTCACACATTTTTTTGGCGCATTTCTTGGCATTGATCCCATTTGCATCTTTGCTTTTTGGCAATTTCGCGGACAATTAAATGAAACGAAACAATTATATAGTAGCAAAACAACGAAAGCGTGGGAAATGCAGAAAAAGCATAAATTTAAGAAATACAGTGAGCCCTTGCTAAATAAATTAAGTTCGTTGGTTAAAACAAAAAATTCTTATTTGCTAGAAGTCTTTAAGTGGTCTATTCCTAAAAAAATACAACTTGATGCTGGTTTGGAATATATTTTTTAAAGTGTGGGCCTAATCAGAGTTGATAAGGTCATAAATGAAATATTTTTCTCAATTATTTTTCTTTAGCTAAAATATTTTTTGAATTTCTGACACTTAAAGGTCCATATATACAGTTTTTCCTATCGCAGAGTGTTTACTGTAGATTCATTGGCCAAAGCGCATTGGGGAATAAATCAGCAGCGAAATTTAAGAGAATGGAGACGGCCGAATAATATGTCGTAATAGCCAAAAAAAAAATCTAGAAAAAAATGTTTAAAGGAGATATTCAAAATCTTTTGGAGTGCCGCCGGGAGGAATAGTCAGAGAGAGGAGTTCCAGAACTTGTTGAAAGTTAGGTTAGGAGGCTTATCCATTTTTTTATGGAAATTTCCATGGAGCATGGAGCAAAATCAATAACTGGGCGGCCTGGCTGGGCGTCAAACTCACCTTGGGATCCTTCTCGTAGTAGTGCTGCTGTGTGCGAATCCAACGGCCCACCATGTTGTCCTTGACGGTGTTGGCCAAGGCGAAGTAGTAGTCCCTCAGGGTGGACACATTACGATCCTTGACCAGGGTGTAATGCAGGTGCCGATTGAAGTTCTTCTTCACCTCGGTGACATTGCCCACCTCTGCGATGCCGCGCACCGAGATCTGTTTGCGCCGATCGGCGTCCGATTGGGGCTTCGACATGGTGTCCTAGTTATATCCTCTGATCAGTTCTATATAGTTCTCTGATTCCGTTCAGTGGGTGCGCGTGTGTGTGGCGGAGACCCGTTTGCGTGTGCGACAGCGAATTGGAGACGAGACTATAGGCACAACAGACCTGAACAGACGACCGTTCACAGCAAAATCCGGAGCGATTCTCACTTTATACTTTCGTTATAGGTTCCAAAGCTTTTTCTTTAAGAGCTTTAGCCTCTCATTTAGCGGTGTTCGCTCTTTGGCTCCCTTGTAAACAATTCTCGACGCACAGTGGGCCGCTTTTGCTGTGGTTAACTTGTTTGGAGACAACTGATAGAAAAAGTATTCTACCTTTTTGAAATTATTTTTTTACGGGAACTTTTATGGTAGAACGACTTTGAAATAGTTGTTGTTTACAAAATGAATCTTCCGTAGGTCAATTATAAAAGCATTTATAATTGTATGTCATTATTAAAAATAAATTATACTCTGCGCGGTTTATAGGGAATATGTTCCACAGTGCCTTGCTGACACAGCGGTTCTTATCAGCTCTCTCGGTGCTCCACTGCATTCCCTCGACTCAATTGCACCATAACTGTGCTCCTTATGCACTGTGCCCCAAGCTCATTTGCTCTCTCCTTCTCTCATTGCGTCTCACTCTCTGGCGTTCTCTCTGTGCCCCAGTCACCTTGTGCGAAGGTCATACATGCGTATTGTTGTTTATTTTCAGTTTTTTCATATTGAGCATTTCTATGCTTTTTGTTTTTGCTCCCTATCAGGCATTGAACATTTTGGGTGGCGCCCTCCAGAACAAGTTGGAGCTTTGTAAGCAGGCGTCTGTCAAGTGAAAGCTTTGGAGCAGCTGTAAGTTATCCGAAATTTGCGCGGTCTAATTTCGGAGGTGCTAACTCGTTTTTAATTCAAAAAGACAAAAAAGATATTTCAGATATCCCTAAGATGTTTTGTTTTCGACTAGATACCTTTGTATCTTTATTAAAAAACCGGTTATAAAACAAGGAAAAAGAATCTTTTTTTTTAGTAAATAAAAATAATACATTCCTAACATGTCAGCTATGTAAGTTTACCACTGTAAAAAAAGTTAAGACCAAATTAATAAATATTAATATATTTTCTGTATTTTAATAACGCTGTCCCTTAACTTTTCATATTTTTCTCTTAGCAATATCAACGAATCTCGGCGCGCAGAGCATCTGAAATTCTATCCCAACCATTTAGTTATTCCATTTCTTGTTTATTACTTCCCATAATGGCACTACCATGTTCAACTACTCGGGAATGCATGCGGAAAAAGTCCTTGAAAGGTGCCGAGAAAAAGGGGTGGGAAATTTGGAAGGGACCAAGGAGGTGCTTGTGCTTGTTTCTTGTGTTCACTATTTGCTCGGCTATTTCGTTGCAAATGAAAATGATTAGCACATTTTGCCGAAAGAAAGGGAAAGGAAAACCTTTTGGGCGTTTGCCAAGTGAGCTGCCATCGAAATGAACGCCATCATTCATAAGCTTGTCTGCTAAAAATTTAAAACTTAATTGGAATCTGCTGAATACCGGCAACCGTACGCTTGTTGACTCCTCGCACATATGCACTATGCAACTAGTTTTTGTTTTGTTTTTCTTTTCTTTACGAGCAGTATGAAAAAGTTACACTTTTGCGGAAAAAAGAGTTCACTGAGAAAAATGATAAAAGTAGAAACACTTGATCATACAAACTTATGTCTAAAATTATTATCCCCTCTACAAGGGTATAAAACTACAGAACAAAAAGCTTAGCTCCATGATTCATGAAGCCTGAGTTTTAAATATGGACTCTTATAAGCACATTTCAGATTGCTTGCGAAATCATTCGGTTGTTGATCGGCGTCCAGTGATGAAGGCATATATAGCGACTCTCGTTGCCCTGCTTATCAGCTTGGCGAAGGGCCAACGAGGAAATACTAATCAGGTAGCTTTGAGTTATCCACTGATAATGAGGCATTATTGAAGAGTGAAATTTTTCATTTAGATACCATGCGGCATCATAAAGCCTCCATACGGAGGTAATCAACCGGGCCAATATCCTTGGGTTATTGCTGTGTTGGACCAGCGTGATTGGCTGATCCGATATATTGGATCGGGCTCCCTGATCGCCCCCAATGTTGCCCTAACTGCCGCCCACGTCGTTAATGAAACCACCGAATTCGATCTGCTGGTGCGGGCTGGCGAATGGAATGTTACCACCATGAAGGAACAGCAGCACGTGGATCTTGACGTCTCGAAGATAATTATTCACGAGGGGTTCAACAGGTTCAACGACGAAAATGACATAGCCCTGCTTATTCTTAGATCCGAATTCAAGATGAGACCCAATGGACCCATTGGTCTCATTTGCTTGCCCACACAGTACTCCTATGCAAACTGCTTCTTCAACGGCTGGGGAAAACAGGACTGGGACTCGGAGGAATACTCTTCCACTCTCAAAAAGGTCGATGTAACCCTAAGACCTAACTATGAATGTCAACGACCAGGCCAACAGCTGACCAGCAGTAAAATGTGTGGATATGTTTTTCAGGGTAAGGACAGCAGGGGCGACGACGGTGCTCCCCTGGTTTGTCAATCAAATGGTCGAATGGAGCAGTTTGGAATTCTTGTCTCGGAAAAGCGCCAGACTCGCGACCAAAGTTTCACCGTTTATACGAATATTCCCAGCTTTATGAGTTGGATCAATCGCATCCTTAAATTGAATTCAAATTAATTTTATCGAAATAATGAACGTTTAATTTAAAAACAAAACAAAGTCCACGGCATTAAGTAAATTTTATAATTTTTCGACTCTTTGGAAATTTCAGTGACTCAATTTCGGTGAAAAAATATTGTGCAAAAGTTTAATGTTTTATGTTATTTTTGACAACTTTGGCTTAAGTGCCCGGCATTTGGTTTTTTTTTTTAAGATTGCTCATAGCTCTGAGTAAAGCGTGGTCAGTTCTCCGAATGGCTTTGATAACCCCTGCGCCCCCTGATAATTAAATATAAAACATTATCAGTGAAGCAAGAGCTCAGCATTCATATGGTTAGCATACAAGGTCTCTAGCAAACGATTTCAAATTGGAATATCCTAAACATTTCTGATTGGATTTACAAAAAATACTTAATTTTTCTTTGAAGGAATGCTGACTAGAATCGAAAAAGTAGCACAGAACACTTTCAATTTTATTTTTTTCTTTGACTAAACTTTTTTTCCAAGTGTACAACGCAAACAAAAATAATCTCGGCTAAAAAATTCGCATTTGAAAGAGGGCAGGCAGCACAAATCAGAGAGAGGTGGCGAGGAGTTTTGTGGGCGAAACGGCGTTCAAAAGTTAAAGTGTGGCCATTTTTCATTTTTTGCACGCTACTGTTTGTTGCTGTTTGTTTGTATGTTTGTTTGGCGCGCACAAAGGCGAGTGTGTGTGCACGTGGGTGTGGGAACGACCACAAACACACGGAACATATGTGAGTTGAGTTTGCCGTGTGAAAAAAGAGCGATTCGAGTGCTTGTTAGAAAGAGTGCGAGTGCGGTGCGAAAGGGATGGCGCATGGATGTACGGATGGATGGGGCACACGTACGTATGAGTGAGATCCTGGAACTCGTTTTGCCGCTAATTGGATGCTGAAGGTGTCCTCGGCGTTTGCGTGTGTATGGGTGCTGGTGGTCATGTGTGTGTGTGAGTACGGTCTGGAGTTGAAGTTGCCAAACATCATTAACAGCATCCGACACGCCCACCGCCCACAGCCCACCGCCCACTGACTTCCACACTCAAACAAAAGTAATTTGTCTTATCTCGATTACTGCAAACCGCTAGTAAACATTATTCAATTAAGCTGGGTTTTTCGAGTAGCGTTTAGAGAGAAAATAAAAATGTTGAAATCTCTTGCCAGAAAATCTAAGTAAAGCATTCCTTTTGCTTACTTTTGTTTGTAGAAATCTATGTATGTATGTTTAAACTACCTACAGTTACTAAAACAATATAAATTGCATTAAATAAGTTATCTTATCTTATTTTTACCAGTGCACTTACTGTTTGCAACCAAAAAAGAGCTGTCTCAATAATTACAATTTTTTGTGCCGCTGCTGCGTTTACTGCCACCTCTGATGGCGAGATTAAAGTTTTGGCATAATGATGCCTCATTAAATTAAATGGCAACATTTCGAAACAAAACTGATGTAATTTGCCTGCCGTAGTTGCCAGATTAATGTCTGAAAAGCTGGGGGAAATGGATCTTGTCCGTAAACTGTTTGGCTTTTTTGATTCCTCTTTAATGCGCTCCCTTGGGCCGCTTAAATGTTTGCCATAAAATTGTGTATCAATATCAATATTGGAGCAGCGCCCAACGATTGCCGGGCTCCACGTCGCCTCGCCTCTGCATACACACAAATTGATATCGAATTACAATAAAATCTGCATTTATCAAAAGTTCTCACGCACACAACCTCGCTCACCTGTACACACGTACACACGTACGGCACACACATGCAACAGTTGTAAGCCAGCATTTGTATGCGTGGCATTTGGTAACCTTTAACCCTTTTTATGGCCCTACCAGGAAGCGAAATGCTAAGATGCAACAACAGACATAAAAAACAAGCGTGGAGAGTTTTCATCTTTCCAACAACGAATTTTCAATGCCTGTAAATTAGATATTACATAAATAAACAATAAATAAGATTTTATATAAATAAAAATTAATAATACAAAGGAAAGGGTTTAGAACACTGTCAAGTTTTGCTATTTCTGATACACTAATTTAATATTTTAATTGGGTACTTCTATGAATAAATATTTCTCTTTTGCAAATAAAACATTCTTTATATTACATGCTTAAAATAAGATTTCAATGTCTTTCAAATGCTGAGCAACCCTCGGCAAACTTCGGCCAAGGTCGAACATCCGCTTTTAAGGTGTGGCAGGAAGACTTTAAGGATGACCTCCCAATGGGAGCATTTTAGGGCAAGCGTGGCCATTATGAGCTACTTAGCAACCGATTTGTGCAGCACTTGCCGCACCTCACGCCCACAAAGGCACTCTCTCGTCGGCATTAGAGTCTGTATCCGAGTCGAGGAAAAATTCGGAGGCAAATCGTCGTAGAGGATTTGAAGGTTTTAGGTTTCGAGAGAACATCTTCGGTTTCGTTTGCTGAATTGAAATCGCTTAATTTAGCAGATAATTTAGCCAACAAATTGTTTTCTGCCCCCCAAACCCCGCAAAAACACACATTTCTGGGAATGTAATTAGCTCGCTTCCTGTTTTTGTTTGCCATTGCTTTCGTGGCTTTGTTCGAACGTTACAAACGCTCCCATGTGGCTATTTGTATGCGATTTATGGAACCAACTCGGTTCCGTCCAACTTGGCACTATTGTTGCGACAACTATTCAATTACCTTCCCCTTTCTCCTCGGGGACTTTCACTCCCAGAAACTCGACAAGTGCCCCCAAAGTCAGTGTTTAATTGGGTCCCCTTTTGTCCGCTTTGGAGTCTTCTGGTTAACAATGCGTGGCTTTTGCTTCTAGCTTTTGCCAACTGCATGCGCTGGGAATACCAATTACCCCTAATAATAATCGATTAAATCCTAGCTAAATGAGGGGACTTGAAAGTAAGTTTGTGCTTAAAACAAAAGATATATTTTATTTGATAATCATTAAAAAATCAAATATTTGAGACAAACATATGCCAAAGTTTTTTTTAACATTTAAGTATCGAACCAGTAATAATACCCTACAAACTATGCTTTACAATTTATCACACACTTTCATTTCTAAATTATACACAATTTTTCTCTTTGTTTGTGACGAAATTTACATATTCTAGCAAAAAGTTTGTGCACACCGTAATGAATTACAATACATCTATTTTACCAGTTTGTGTATATCATATGTAAACCTGCAACAATGGGTTATATTCGAAATAAGAAGAGTCATATGTTAACGCTTAAATGAATATTTGTCTATTTTGAATAAACGAAATCATATGAACCGTAGAACATAAATTAAAAGGAATTTTGTATGCTAATTCAGAATAAAAGATTCAAGGATCATCACACTTTTCATTGGGAGTTTTATTTTCTTATTTATGATTGTTATAAACCGTAAACCACAATGCCAATTTATTTAAGTCACTGTCTTCATAAATTTATTTGTATTCGATTCAAATGTGTTGAGCAATTACTGTTTCATTTATTAGTTGTTTTATATTCAGTTTTTATAGAAATCCGATTGCCGGCCTCACTTACATATGTTCACATGCATTTATTTATAATATTTTACGGTTTGTAGGGTGGTTTCTGATTATGGAAATAAGTTAATGAGAATATTGGGATTGTGAGGATGAATGTAACAGGAAGGAAGTTGACCCAAAAATATTGACTCATAAATACTACAAATTGTGTGTTTAAAACACAATGTGACTTTATTTTTAGATACATTATTAGAACATAGAAATGTATTTAATGGGAATGCCTTGACCCAAACAACCTGTTCGATTTTGTTTCTTTGGATTTTATTTTAATACCATTTATCTTTGTCAAGCTGATAAATCAATTTGATACGGATGTGTGAGCCGAATATGATTTATTGTTATCCTGGGTGTTCGCACTCTTTGAATCCGTCAACCTTTTGCCGATAAAGTAACGATTGCCGTTGCCATTGTTTGCTGCTGCTGCATAATCCGGTTTATTATTTGGCAGCTCTCTTATCAATTGCGAAAAGCCACAATGTGCATTCAATTTGCTAAGCGGCTTTAGGTGATGGCAAAAAATAGCACGAATAACAAATCAATTTGCATATTATTATGCGTTATTATTGTTCTCGCTTTGATGGAGTCATGCCAGAGGAAAATTAGACGGCGGAAAGGGAAAAGATGGAAACAGTTGACTGGCTCGGTAATAAATTCAGGTCTGGACAAAACTCCCAAAAGACGGTCGGTCGGTCGGTCGGTCGAATGGCAAATCGGCAAACAAAGGAGTTGAATTTATTTGCCCCGGAGCCTTGAATTATTTCAGATTTATTTACTTAAAGTCACTTTGGGGCAACTCTTTTGACAACTCAACCTCCGCAGCCAGTTCGAGTTGAGTTGCCTCCAGTCGAGTGGAAGAGCTGCAGAAGGGGATTTCTTTTCGGAGTTTTAGCCGGGATTTGTCCTTTCCCCGCCGACAATCAATAATTCATTGACCTTCTGCGGCTGACAATTCAGCACCGAGTTTATTTGTTTGTTTTCGCTTTTATTGTTATTTTGTGTCCGCTCTCCGCTTTAAAGCGAACTTTATGAGCAAAGTATACACAAAGAATACACCCGTATCCCATTAAAAAGTTCTATCAATAATGGGCTGCACTTCATATGCAATTCGTGTTCAAAAATTAAAGAGGTTTCGAGAGTTTGATTTATGTTTGCTGCATTTCGAAGTCTCCGGTGTGTCAACACTTCGCGTGCAGCAAATGAAAAGGCTAATCAATAATTGACGTCGAGAGCTGGCCAAAAATTTATGGGCCCCGAGCCGTGGGCTAATTGCAAATAGGAGTATTATTTACCCAGTGCATTAAACTGAATATCCGCATTCGAAATGCACACAACATATCCAATAATCCCGCTCGATTTTGGTTTCGATGCCGCAGGGCCTCTTTTGCTCGTGCGGCGCCTTTTGTCTAATTGCTTGGGTATTTGCCTTGTTGCATAAATAATATCCAGTCCAGTGTTTTGCGGAGTGAATAAACCTTCCTCTTGCGCGCAAATCAAACGAAATTGAGCGCAAATAATAATAATGTCAGAAGAGGCGAGTGTCCTGCCTGCTAAGGCCACTCAATTTATGCAGGAAAATGTGCCAAACAATTATCCCGATAAAACGTGATTGATTATGCC